CAATCCAAGCACGGTTGGAGTGCAGCTCCCATCACTCCTTGCCACCACATTATGAGAGTTGCGGCCCAACAGCTTTTGATGCTTCACAGGATTGCAACATTGCTATGAAACCTCAGAGTAGAAGGATTGCAGGTGAAGAGGCATCTACATCAAATGCAAAATGTGAGCCTCCTCGGCTGGGAACTATCCACAGAGGAAGGCAGCCAGCCAAGCAGGCAGGCCAGAGAGGGGCACCTGTGTATATATTCCACCAAGCGTTGAATGAGCTGCCAAGTCTTGCGGAGCTGGAAAAGGCAACAGACTTGGCTTCAAAGCCCGAGTATAAGATGGGGAAAATGTTTCCAAGAAGGCACCACAGAAACTTCCTTTCAGTCGAGCTGTCTTTTATGTTCCTCTCGCATTTGGCTTGGCCGGGGCATTGAGGACTCTCTCTTTCGTCATCCAGCTACCTTTATGTGGCTTTGATGGGATGCACGGCTGAAGCTCTTATTCTGGAACATAGAATCATAGAATCAAAGAGTTGGAAGAGACCTCATGGGCCATCCAGTCCAACCCCCTGCCAAGAAGCAGGAATATTGCATTCAAATCACCCCTGACAGATGGTCATCCAGCCTCTGTTTAAAAGCTTCCAAAGAAGGAGCCTCCACCACACTCCGGGGCAGAGAGTTCCACTGCTGAACGGCTCTCACAGTCAGGAAGTTCTTCCTCATGTTCAGATGGAATCTCCTCTCTTGTAGTTTGAAGCCATTGTTCCGCGTCCTTGTCTCCAAGGAAGCAGAAAACAAGCTTGCTCCTTCCTCCCTGTGGCTTCCTCTCACATATTTACTCATGGCTATCATATCTCCTCTCAGCCTTCTCTTCTTCAGGCTAAACATGCCCAGCTCATGCTCAACGTTTGCCAGCTCAGAGTCCATAAATTCATTCCACAGTGTCCAATTCCTATCAGTCGTTGTTGTCCTCTATTGATCTGCCATATTGCCCAAACGCCTGGTCCCACATCCAAGGGATGTCGATGATCTAATTTCCCCGGGGAGTAAATTCCACAGGTGAGGGGCCACCACCGAGAAGGCCCTGCTCCTCATCCCCGCCAATCTCACTTGTGATAGAGGTGGGGCCGAGAGTAGGGCCTCACCAGAGGATCTTAAACTCCGAGGCGGGACGTAGAGGGAGATGCATTGGGCCAGAACCGTATAGGGTTTTGTAGGTCAAAACCAGCACTTTGAATTGTGCTCGGAACTGGATCGGCAGCCAGTGGAGCTGACATAACAGAGGGGTGGTATGCTCCCTGTATGACGCTCCGGTGATTAATCTGGCTGCCGCCCGCTGGACTAATTGAAGTTTCCGAACAGTCTTCAAAGGCAACCCCACGTAGAGTGCATTGCAGTAATCTATTCGGGATGTAACAAGAGCGTGGACCACTGTGGCCAGATCTGACTTCCCAAGGTACGGGCGCAACTGGCGCACAAGTTTTAATTGTGCAAAAGCTCTCCCGGCCACCGCTGAGACCTGGGGTTCCAGGCTCAGCGATGAGTCCAGGATCACTCCCAAGCTGCGAACCTGCGTCTTCAGGGGGAGTGTAACCCCATCTAACACAGGCTGTAACCCTATGCCCTGTTTGGCCTTACGACTGACCAGTAGGACCTCTGTCTTGTCTGGATTCAATTTCAATTTGTTAGCTCTCATCCAGTCCGACACAGCAGCCAAGCACCGGTTCAAGGTCTGGACAGCCTCCTTGGTGACAGGTGAGAAGGAGTGACAGATTTGGACATCATCTGCGTAGAGACAACAACTCATTCCGAAACTCCGAATGATCTCCCCCAGCGGCTTCATGTAGATGTTAAATAAGATTGAACCCTGTGGGACTCCACACAACAACGGTTGTGGGGCCGAACAGGTGTCACCCAGTAACACCTTCTGGGACCGTCCCTCAAGAAAGGATCGGAGCCATTGCAGAGCAGTGCCCCCGAGACCCATATCTGTGAGGTGCCCCAGAAGGATACCGTGATCGAAGGTATCGAAGGCCGCTGAGAGGTCCAGCAGAACTAACAGGGACACACTCCCCCTGTCCAGCTCCCGGCGAAGATCATCTACCAGAGGACAAGACCAAAATCTAGGGAGCTGGACCAAAACTAATAAAATGAATTCCAACAAGGAGAAATGTAAGGTGCTACACTTCTATACACATAATAAAAGTGAATATATATATGTATGTGTGTGGCTAGGGTGTCCACTTACACAGACAGGCTTCCACTTCCACAAATAGCTATAACTCCTACTACTCAGGAGATACAAATAGTCCTCCCTCCAATGACACTGCATGTTATAGTGAGAACTGTAAACATGTACAAGAGCCCTGCCAATGCCCTCCACAAATGCAATACTGACCACCACCCAAGTGAATGCTTTCATACAGGGAAAATTTCATCCGAGATTTTGTTTTTCCTCCACCACAGACATCTCAGTGTTTCTGACTCTCTCCATTGGTGTGGAATTTGCATCACCCCTCCACAAATGCAATGCTGTCCACCACCCAAGTGAATGCTTTCATACAGGGAAAATTTCATCCGAGATTTTGTTTTTCCTCCACCACAGACATCCCAGTGTTTCTGACTCTCTCCATTGGTGTGGAGTTTGCATCACCCCTCCACAAATGCAATACTGCCCTCCACCCAAGTGAAAGCTTTCATACAGGGAAAATTTCATCCGAGATTTTATTTTTCCTCTACCACAGACATCCCAGTGTTTCTGACTCTCTCCATTGGTGTGGAATTTGCATCACCCCCTCCACAAATGCAATGCTGTCCACCACCCAAGTGAATGCTTTCATACAGGGAAAATTTCATCCGAGATTTTGTTTTTCCTCCACCACAGACATCCCAGTGTTTCTGACTCTCTCCATTGGTGTGGAGTTTGCATCACCCCTCCACAAATGCAATACTGCCCTCCACCCAAGTGAAAGCTTTCATACAGGGAAAATTTCATCCGAGATTTTATTTTTCCTCTACCACAGACATCCCAGTGTTTCTGACTCTCTCCATTGGAATTTGCATCACCCCCTCCACAAATGCAATGCTGTCCACCACCCAAGTGAATGCTTTCATACAGGGAACATTTCATCCGAGATTTTGTTTTTCCTCCACCACAGACATCCCGGTGTTTCTGACTCTCTCCATTGGTGTGGAATTTGCATGATCCCACCCACTGCCTCTCCCTTAACCTTTCTTTATTCTTTTTTATGACACACAGCAAAGAGAGAAATTGATCAACAACTGAACATACTAGAGAGGTTTGGGGAGTATTCACCATGATTTCTAGGAGTAGTAGGTCCTGGGATATATAGTTCACCTGAACTCCACCAACGATGGACCTGGAACTAACTTGGCACACACAACCTCCATGACCAACAAAAAATACTGGAGGTCTTTGTAGGGATTTATAGGAGTTGTACTATGTGTTTTGGGGAGAATTCACTATGATTTCTAGGAGTACTAGGTCAAAAGGGTTTTCCTCGTAAAGGAAAGAAATAGTTCTCCAAGCAAGTTGCCTGTCCCTTGTAGACAAGTTAAGAAGCATTTGTTTGATTTGTTGAAGATTTAAGATTGTTTGTTCAAGACCTAAGCAATAATAAAGAACTTTGTTAAACTTTAAAGCTTCTAAAGACTTTGTATAGGAAAACCCATAGGGCCTCTCATCCGAGGCACCCCGGCTTCCCGCTGGGCACAAAGAGCACGTCCTGTTCAAAAGCCAATTGCTATAGGCCCAGTGCGCCACAGCACAGTAAGTGTAAGTCATATGAAGAACATATGATTAACGATGACTTCAGATTCATTTGCACAAGTCTAATGTCTTCATAACCAGGGGTGGCTCGTCCATTACGCGAAGTAAGCAGTCGCAGAACACTTTTTTTTGCCAGGGGCGCAGAGGCGCCTTTCTAAATGCCCCTCGACCGCCACTTGAGGAGTGCCCCCTCAGCTCACAACAGCCCTAGCAGTCCGGGGGGAGACTCGGCTTTCTTGCCTTGCTGCCGGGCGATCCTCTTCCTAAAGGGGCCGGGCCCTTGAGCATCGCCTCGCCCCTCTCGTTCCTGCTCCACCTGGCCACCGGGTGCGCGAGCAGAGCCAGCGCTCAATCATTCTCCACATTCGATCTCTTCCCCATGACCGGCTCCCTTTCCCGATCCCCCGGCGCTCCACCCGCCTCCTCTCCTCTCCCCAATCCGCAGGTGGGCCAAGGGGCGGAGCCACCGCACCTGGCCTGCTTTGGGTCCGGAGGCGTGTCTGAAGACCTCAGTGTGTGCACCACTTCAGCCATTGGGACCGAGAGAGAGAGAGAGAGAGAGCCCCTCCGGCTGGAGGTATCTCCCACCTCCGCTCCCTCCTTTGTTTTTGCGCCTACCTTCAGGAAAGGTGGGCATCTCCACCTCTCTCTCTCTCTCTCTCTCTCTCTTGGTCCCAATGGCTGAGGAGAAAGTCAGGAGAAGAGGTGACTTTTGGTGCACACGCCGGGGTCTTCAGGCACGCCTCCGGACACAAAGCAGGCCAGGCAAGGGAGCAAGTGCGGCAAGTGTAGTTACTGGGATGTATAGTTCACCTACAATCAAAGAGCATTCTGAACTCCACCAATGATGGAATTGAACCAAATATGGCACACAGAACTCCCACGACAAACAGAAAATATATATCAATGATTGGTTGGGGAGGGGGGAGGGGCGCCAAAATACTGTTTGCTTACCATTGAAAATTACCTCTGTTCATAACTATAACCTCCTACATGCCAATTTATTTTTCCCCCCAAATACTCTCCTTTTTCCCAGTTGCTCATGCACACCAACTGTGATTCCGAATGTGTGTTTCATCATCCCACCACCACAATAGCACCAGGTTAATTGCAAAATCATCTACCCAGACAACTCAATCAAGGTGAGAACTTAATCGTGACAGCAAAAAAAAAATGTGCCTGTGGATGTCCCCTCACCACAAATGCCAAGCACCAAAGGAAGGTGGAAGTAAATATGTTTTAATGCACAAAAGAACCTGTAGGACTCTCCACAAGCAGCACCTCTGTCGACCTGGAGCAATCTGTGTTTCTTATACTCTCTTTGCTGCTTTGCTGGCAAAGTCCTTACACCTTTGACGTGGTGTTAAGTCGCTTGGTATCTACTTCCAAGTCGTCGATCATTATAGGCTTCTTGCTCACCACAGGCACGCCATCTGAGATAAAGTCCTCCTGCACAAAGGTACCACCAGGTGTACTCTGAGTAAGACTGGAGTGATTGAACACACTGTTATGGAGTCCCTCCCACATGGTCTACTTTCCCCCTTCTGCCTCTTCCTCGTGACTTTTGGGCATATACCCTTGGGATTTAGTAAGAAAAGAGCTTTAAAAGGAGAGAGAGAGAGTCTCTTTGAAAAAAAACTGAGCAAAATTATGTACTTCCTTTAAAAATCATATAATAAAATTTAAAAAGGAAATAAAATGGAAAACAAATCTGGCCAAACTCTCAATTTGCATCCGTCTCGTGTTTGTTTTGAATCCTCCATGGTTTCATTGCTTCTCCTGTCTCTCAAGTTGCAAGATGGTGGCTTAAGTCTTTGATGCTGAGGAGTCCCATGTGCCCCATCCAGTCTGTTACATCCATTGGGTGGCATCTTCTCTCATCGCCCCTTGGACTCGCCATACATGTTGCGCAGCATGGAGATCATTTTCTCCTCGCATGTGATTTTTGTGTCCTTTAGGATGCTGTACCAGACCATTCCAGGCGGCCGGACCTCTTCGCTACGACAGAACAGGTAAGGCATGGTGTCGGTGTGGCTCTGGATGTAGGGACTGCGAAGCAAGGTGGAGCAGTGGTTGCTGACCTTCTCCAGCCTCCTCAGAATGAGGTGTGCTTTCCTGGAAGAGACAAATGAACAGTCTGTTAATTCATGCTCAAGGAGGAACCGTGGAGTAGTGATTTGAATGTTGGGACAAGGATTCTGGATTCAAATGCCAAGGAAGTCATGGAAATCCAATGGTTGGTCTTGGGCAAGCTGCGCAAACTTCAACACACTACTTGAAAGCCCCAAAGGCAATAATATATATTCTCACATGCCAAGGAAGTCATGGAGATCCATTGGTTTTATTTATTTATTTATTTACGCTATTTCTATCCCGCCCATATCAGTCCGAAGGTGACTCAGGGTGGCGTTGAGTTGACCTTGGGCAAGCTTAGTTTGCCTTCCTGTGATGCAGGGAGTGTATGTGCGCAGCTTGCCCAAGGTCAACTCAACGCCACCCTGAGTCACCTTCGGGCTGATATGGGCGGGATAGAAATAGCGTAAATAAAAAAAAATAAAACCAATGGATTTCCATGACTTTCATGGCCTGTGAGAATATATATTATTGCCTTTGGGGCTTTCAAGTAATGTCTTGAAGTTTGCGCAGCTTGCCCAAGACCAACCAAGACACTCCCTGCATCACAGGAAGGCAAACCACCTCTGAACTAATCTTGCCAAGAAAATTCTGTGATAAGTTCAATACATCAAGGGTTGTCTTAAATTTGGGGCCTTCAAGACACTACTTGAAGGCCCCAAAGACAGCAATATATATTCTCACAGGTCAGGAAAGTAATGGAAATTCATTGGTTGACCTTTAGCAAGCTGTGCGCACACACTTCCTGCATCACAGGAAGGCAAACCACCTCTGAACAAATTTTGCCAAGAAAATTCTGTGATAAGTTCAATACATCAAGGGTTAGCTTAAATTTGGGGCCTTCAAGACACTACTTGAAGGCTCCAAAGACGACAATATATATTCTCTCAGGTCAGGAAAGTCCTGGAAATTCATTGGTTGGCCTTGGGCAAGCTGCACACACACAAACTTTCTGCATCACAGGAAAGCAAACTACCTCTGAACAAATCCCGCCAAGAAAATTCTATGATAAGTTAACTACATTAACGGTTGTCTTAAACTTGGGGCTTTCAAGACACTAATTGAAGGCCCCAAAGACAACAATATATATTCTCGCAGACCAGGAAAGTCCTGGAAATTCATTGGTTGGCCTTGGGCAAGCTGCACACACACACTTTCTGCAAAACAGGAAGGCAAACTACCTCTGAACAAATCTTGTCAAGAAAATTCTGTGACAAGTTCACTACGTTAAGGGTTGTCTTAAATTTGGGGCTTTCAAGACACTACTTGAAGGCCCCAAAGACAAGAATATACATTCTCGCAGACTAAGAAAGTCATGGAAATTCATTGGTTGGCCTTGGGCAAGCTGCGCACACACACTTTCTGCAAAACAGGAAGGCAAACTACCTCTGAACAAATCTTGCCAAGAAAATTCTGTGATAAGTTCACTACGTTAAGGGTTGTCTTAAATTTGAGGCCTTCAAGACACTACTTGAAGGCTCCAATGACAACAATATATATTCTCACAGGCCAGGAAAGTCATGGAAATTCATTAGTTGACCTTGGGCAAGCTGCGCACACATACTTCCTGCATCACAGGAAGGCAAACCACCTCTGAACAAATCTCGCCAAGAAAATTCTGTGATATGTTCACTACATTAAGGGTTGTCTTAAATTTGGGGCCTTCAAGACACTACTTGAAGACCCCAAAGACAACAATATATAGTCTCACAGGCCAGGAAAGTCATGGAAATTTATTGGTTGGCCTTGGGCAAGCTGCGCACACACACTTTCTGCATCACAGGAAGGCAAACCACCTCTGAACAAACCTTGCAAAGAAAATTCTGTGATAAGTCCAAACATTAAGGGTTGTCTTAAATTCGGGGCCTTTAAGATACTGGTTTAACGTGGCTCTTTTCCTGCTTTTAAGAAATCTGGTTTACAAGTTTCACTCGTGTGTCATGTTGGGTGAATCAAACAGTAAAACGATGGTAATGACTACCTAGGCCCAAGTTCATCCTCACTCCGCCAGACAAAGTCCCCAAACTTCTCATAGTGGAAATTGTAGTGGTGCTGGACACGGAAAAGCATAGAAGCTGAGACCTCCATCAGGGTGTTGTAGGCTGTCTGCTGCTCCTTTCCACTAGTGTAGCCATTGTACAAGTTGTAGATCTTATCTGCTATCTCTGGAAAAGAAGCGGAGAGGAAAATGAGTGAAAACTTCCCTTTAAACTTCATTGCTATACTTACTTAGTAAGTAGAGTAGGATAGTCTTCTAGGATCAGTGTCATGGTGGTAAGTCCCTAGGTGACTGTGGAACCCTATTCTTGACATGAATGTTCTCCTGCAGTGAGGGAATTCGTTTCCAGGTGGAAGGTGGTCCCGGTTGGGGTTGGCTCGACACACCTTCCTCTTGGCACATTTCTCTCTTTTGCCCTCCATTCGTACTCTTCAAATTCTACAGCACTGCTGGTCACAGCTGACCTCCAGCTGGAGTGCTCAAGGGCCAGGGCTTCCCAGTTCTCAGTGTCTATGCCAGAGTTTTTAAGGTTGGCTTTGAGCCCATCTTTCAATCTCTTTTCCTGTCCTCCAACATTCCATTTTCCATTCTTGAGTTCGAAGCAGAGCAACTGCTTTGGGAGACGGCGGTCGAGCATCTAGACAACGTGGCCGGTCCAGCAGAGTTGATGGTGGAGGACCATCGCTTCAATGCTGGTGGTCTTTGCTTCTTCCAGCATGTTGACATTTGTCCGCCTGCCTTCTCAAGAGATTTGCAGGATATTCCGGAGGCAGCACTGATGGAATCGTTCCAGGAGTTGCATGTGACGTCTGTAGACAGTCCACGTCTCGCAGGCGTATAGCAGGGTTGGGAGGACAATAGCTTTATAAAGAAGCACTTTGCTAACCCTACGGATGTCCCGGTCTTCAAACACTCTCTGCTTCATTCTGAAAAATGCTGCACTCGCAGAGCTCTGCTATACTAACAACTTGGCCTCAAATGATTTAAAACTTGTATTTAGTCCTTAGATTTGCTACTATAAACATATTCATCTACTGCTTGTTACTTCAGGTAACCCAACTAACAGATCTCTGGGGTCTCAGCAAGACTCACAGAAAGATTCATCAAGAGAGATAGAGAGAAGGACTTTCCTAACGTGTGGCACTGTCAGATTAGCACCTTCGATACAACAAAGGATGCCCATCCTTTCTCCACATCATGTTTCAGGAGTACATGAGTGGTGTGTAAACATTGAATAGAGTTGAGTGATTTACCCTCCGCCTTGCTGTCATCCACCAATGGACAGGCTGTTCTCAAGGTGACCGTGCTCAGCTCAGAGTGCCTTCCACGAGTGTCCACAGCATAAAGTGTGAATCTGAAAAAGAGAGAAAGGCCACTAGGTCAAAACACTTGCTTTTGAGAACATGATGGATTGGAATACGAGCAAAAATTTTACCAATGGGTTACCACACGCCTTACTTTTGGTCCATGTATTTATTTATTTATTTCGGTTGCTTCTACCCCGCCCTTCTCACCTCGGGGGGACTCAGGGCGGCTTACAAAAGCGAGGCACAATTCGATGCCCGCATCACATACAGCAAAAGACAAATACATCATTTAACAACAACAATTCTATCAATAACAGCAATTACCATAAGACAATAATTATAATAGGTAAAAACAACCATAAAACCAATAAAAGCAATAAAAATTCCATACAAACCTCCTTGACGGTCAGCGTTTCACAATCTCATAGTTTAAATTCCCATTCCATAATTGTCAGTCCTTTTAGTCCTATTCATCTGGTTTCCATATCTAATTGTCAGATTGCCCAAAGGCCTGGTCCCACAACCACGTCTTTACCTTCCTCCTGAAGGTAAGGAGGGATGTTGACGCCCTAATTTCCCCCGGGAGTGAGTTCCACAAGTGAGGGGCCACCACCGAGAAGGCCCTGCTCCTCGTCCCCACCAGCCTCGCTTGTGATAGCGGTGGGGTCGAGAGCAGGGCCTCCCCAGATGATCTCAAGTTCCGGGGTGGGACGTAGAGGGAGATACGTTCGGACAGATACACTGGACCGGAACCGTAAAGGGTTTTGTAGGTCAAAACCAGCACCTTGAATTGTGCTCGGAATTGAATCAGCAGCCAGTGGAGCTGACACAGCAGGGGGGTGGTATGCTCCCTGTATGTCGCCCCGGTGAGCAGTCTGGCTGCCGCTCGCTGGACCAATTGAAGTTTCCGAACAGTCTTCAAGGGCAACCCCACGTAGAGTGCGTTGCAGTAGTCTAAACGGGATGTAACAAGAGTGTGGACCACTGTGGCCAGATCAGACTTCCCAAGGTACGGGCGCAACTGGTGCACAAGTTTTAATTGTGCAAAAGCTCTCCCGGCCACCGCTGAGACCTGGGGTTCCAGGCTCAGCGATGAGTCCAGGATCACTCCCAAGCTGCGAACCAATAGGAACCAATGTAGGAACCAATAGGACTGCAAGGCAAAGTATAATGTAGCCAGGACCCAGGGGAATAATACTTCACTAATATATCCCCTAGCACACACACCCACACGTTCCTTCAGCTGTTATATTGCCCACACTGGCCACCTCTTTGAAGGCTCAGTGTAAAGGATTTTATTTATTAAGTCTCCAACTGGACGTCAACACAATCCTGTCACAAAGCACTTTGATGTGTGTTGAGGAAACGTGAAATGTGTATTGGTAGAGTTGCTGCCACCACTCAAATGGATTTGAGAAATTATCTTGATGTTATGCCTGAGGTAAACCCTGTTGTTCACCAGGCCTCCCTTTAACTCCCTTTAAAATGTCTGAGGTAAAAAGATGTTAAAAAATTACTGGAACAGATTCTATGGAATGATTCAGTGCTGAGGCTGCTTTGAAGGTTGAACTAGAGCAAAGTTTATTTGTATACTTGAACACACAACTGACTTCTTCTATGAGGTACACAAGCATATTGGTTAACAAAGCACAATCTTCTTAAATGGTTTCTTGGTCTTAACAAGCTTGATGGTTTCCACAGTGGTCCACGCTCCTGTTACATCCCGAATAGACTACTGCAACCACTCTACGTGGGGTTGCCCTTGAAGACGGTTCGGAAACTTCAACTGGTCCAGCGAGCGGCAGCCAGGCTGCTCACTGGAACAACATACAGAGAGCACACCACCCCTCTGCTGTGTCAGCTCCACTGGCTGCCGATTCAGTTCCGAGCCCAATTCAAGGTGCTGGTTTTGACCTACAAAACCCTGTATGGTTCCAGTCCAGCATATCTGTCCGAATGTATCTCCCTCTACGTCCCACCATGGAATTTACGATCATCTGAGGGGGCCCTGCTCTCGACTCCACCGCTTTCCCAAGCGAGGCTGGTGGGGACGAGGAGCAGGGCCTTCTCAGTGGTGGCCCCTCACCTGTGGAACTCACTCCCAGTGGATATCAGGGCATCGACATCACTCCTGTCCTTCAGGAGGAAGGTAAAGACGTGGTTGTGGGACAAGGCCTTCAGGCAATCTGCTAACTAGGAAGGACAACCAGACAAATAGGACCGGCAGGACTGAGAAATGTGGAAGGAAACTCTGAACTATGAGATAGCGAACATTGACCGGCAATAAGGAGTAATTGGTTTGTATCGGTTTGTATGAAATTTTATTGTTTTTATTGGTTTTAGCGGGTATAGATGTAATGTATTGTTGTTGTTTGCTAATTTGCGTTATTCTGTTTTATTGCTGTTGTATGTTACGGGCATCGAATTGTGCCTTGGATGTGTAAGCCGCCCTGAGTCCCCTTGGGGGTGAGAAGGGCGGGGTAAAAGTAAACCAAATAAATAAACAAATACATTTCCTTAACTGGGTTTCTTTTCTTTAATGTGAGCAAGTTCCCTCACTCTACTCTATACCTAGTAGCAGTGAGTCCCTCTGACACAGCAATCCTGGCTGTCCCCAGAGTATCTAGCTTCCCTCTTCACAGAGATCCCTAATAGCTTGTGTTCTAACACTCACACAAGTCCACAGGTGGCTATCTTGACCCGCCAGGTCAATCTCTATAGACACACCTGCCTCCAAACGCTCTCTCACAGGAAAACTTGAGCTCACTAGAAATCCACCCGCTTCCCTTCAGATCAAAATCCAATCTCTCTCTCTGTCAGAAGCTGCCTGCGTTTTTACACTCACAGCTTCGGCTCCTCCCATCTGTCCTAGTCAATCCTGAGATAGCTGAGCTCCTTTCCTCTGCTGATCTACCTCTCCTAAGATGTCTGCCTCACTGTACTACCTTCCTAACGTGGAGGCCAGCTTACTGACTTATAGGCTTCGGCCTACCAAGGTACAAGTCATGACACAAAGCCTTCAGGATATCACATGGGATAGGAGCCCCCAGTGGCGCAGTGGGTTAAACCCTTCTGCCGGCAGGACAGAAGACCGACAGGTCGCAGGTTTGAATCTGGGAAGAGCACGGATGAGCTCCCTCTGTCAGCTCCAGCTCCCCATGCGGGGACTTGAGAGAAGCCTCCCACAAGGATGGTAAAACATCAAAACATCCAAGTGTTCCCTTGGCAACGTCCTTGCAGACGGCCAATTCTCTCACACCAGAAGCGACTTGCAGTTTCCAAAGGCACTACGGACACGGAAAAAGAAATTGTCTCAATAAAGTGGGTAAGATGACATCCATGGTAATTCGTTCTCCAAAAAGATTGTTTTCAGTTGCAGTCTTTTCCCCTTTACATAAACCAAGAACATAAGAGGTGAATGAGTGCAGTACCAAACTATTTCCATATCTGTAGAACTCAACAAATAGGAAGGCATGTGCATTCAGGCCAAAAGGCATGTTGTTCTCAGGTCCATTTTCGTGTAACCCATCATTTTATTTACCAGAAAAGGGAGGAGTGTTTTCGGTTTCATTCAGCAGAGAATGGCTAAAATGGAAAACTTTAAAGGCTCAATCCTCAGCCATTTTAAGTCCTATCTACACGACTCCATTTACAACTGCCGGCCTGCCAAGTTTCAAAACAATTCACCCATCTACTGATTTTTTAAAGAATTATTTTAAGTTTTAACCATAACATTTGGGAATTGTAGTCGCTGATTGTGTCCATTCTCAGTCAATCAGAACATGGCCACCACTAGGCTTTTTATTGCCCGAGAGACACACACAGAGAAAAAACTTAATTATGTATTGTCGAACCCAGGAACAAAAGTTGTGTTACATAGTGTTATCCCTCTCTGCCTTCCTGAGTCATGTCCTTGAACTAGAAGGAGAAATGAAATGATGGCCTATGTATCAATGTCTTTCAGCTTCCTACCATAGTCTTATAATCCCATGTCCCCACATGGGGAGCTGGAGCTGACACAGGAAGCTCAACCCGCTATCCTCAGATTCGAACACTGAAGCAGTCCTGATGGCACAAGGGTTTAACCCATTGCACCATCAGGGGCTCTTCTTGGGCCAAAATCTTATAGTTCCTCTGGACCCACTGAATCAACTGATAGGCTGTTAGGAATTGTGGGCGTCCAAGTCCAAAACATCTAAAGGGCCGAAGTTTGCCCATGCCTGATCTACATTAATTGAGATGACTCAAAAGACTCGAGGCTGTGGTTGGCATATGTTGATATTTCATGAATCATGCACATACACTCCAACATACCAGAAGCAAATTGCCAATTCATTTCTCTGCACCACCTTGCAAAAAGACGCAATTCTCTCCCCACTTTTATTTCAAGTGCCACCAAAATCAACTGCAGTGAGAAGCATATATTCTGGCAATCGTTCAGGTACAAGAACAGAACTCCCCAAATCAAAGCTTGACTTTCACCACTCTTTTCATGGGGAGCTGGAGCTGACACAGGGAGCTCTACCTGCTATCCCCGGATTCGAAGCACTGAGCTATCGGTCAGCAGTCCTGCCAGCACAAGGGTCTAACCCACTGCGCCACCGGGGGCTCAATTTGGATAATAACGTCTATATAAATAAAAATGTAATGTTCGTTTGTGGTATTCACAGAACTCAAAAACCACTGGAGCAATTGGCACCAAATTTGGACATGATACACCTAACAACCCAATGTATGTTCTCCACTAAAAAAAACCCCACGAAAACAAAAAGCAGAAAGGACTTCTGAACTGTATGTCCACAAAGGAGAAACTGCATGTCGACAAAGAGACCCATGGCTACGCCCCCTACTCCTCGCATAGGGCGCGTGGGAGTGAGGAAAAAGAGGAGGAGGACGGTGGATGGGCTCCTCAAGACCCTCCCTCGCCAGCAGAAGCAGCAGCCTTTTTCCTCTTGGTTGTCTCCCCTCCCTTTCGTCGCCTCCTCTTCCTCCAAGATGCCCCGGTAGAAGCAGCAGGCAGGAGGGAGGGAGAGAGACTGTTCCCTTC